GGGCTGTCCCCATCACCACTGGGGATGTCCCCACAGGGAGCATGCAGAGGACCCCTTCCCACCGTCACCCACTGTGGGAGCAGGTCCATGGGGGTGACCAACGTACATGAGTCCCTGTTTGAAGTAGGCTCGGAAGGTCTCGCTCTCGTGGCCCTGGACCTCCCGGTGTTGCACGGCCACCGTGCCCAGGTGATCGTCCATCTGGGTGGTGTAGATGGCGGCCGCACCCTGCTCATCCTGGCTTGACTCCTTGCCCAGCCAGTAGTGGATGTCGTAGCTGAAGCTGCTCCCACTCTTGCGTGTCTGCAGGACACCAGTCCCTGCTAGAAGAGCCCCCATGTCCCCAAGCTCCCCTGGCCAGGGACACCCCTCCCTGCACCCCAGCATCCCCCCCCAGTCCCCCGCACGCCCCCAGGCTGCCCTACCGACAGCAGGACATAGCAGTCCCCCTCGTAGAAGTTGCCATAGCTTTTGGTGGGCACTGGCACCATCTCCATGTTCTGCAGAAGGAAAGGAGATGTCAGCGCAGCTGCAGACCCCCTGCCCCAGCCCTGCACACCCTGCTGCCCCCACCCCCAAACCTGGGTGGGTTTAACCTGGCACTGACATCCCAGACTGAGGCACTGAGCACACAGAAGACGGGTCTTCCCTTCCTCACCCCCCCCAAACACCAGTGATGGGTGCCCCCATCCCTACCTCGATTCGCCATATCTGGATGCCTGGCGTGGTCTTGTTGAGCGTCCTGCTGACTTTGCTGCTGAGCTCCACCATGATGTTGCAGGCAAGGGGACCTGCTGGGGCATTGGCAACACCCTCGTTAATGACAGGCAGTGTCATTAAGAGCTGGGATGGAGCCAGCCTGCCATGCCACCTGCTGCCCTGCCACTTCTGCAGCGGCTGGGCCATAAACCGCCATCCAGAGCTGCATGGAGTAAGGGACCCCTCCAGCACCCCGGTGACAAGCAGGTCTCTTGTTCCCTCAGCACTGCAGCAGATGGGGGCTATTGTGCTCCATGACAGGGTCTGAAGTGGGGAGGAGCAGGGTCCCCTGAGCACTCTGGTGCCCTGTGCCTGGGCAGGGCTGTGCAGGGCTCCCCTGCTGAGTGCCACCACTGCAGGTATGTTCTGCTCTTCCCCAGGGCCAGCAGGAGCTGGCCCTGCTCAGCCCTGTCCCGGCATGGTTCAGCACACGATGGCACGGCATCACATGGCCACCTGCACACACACACGTATGTACAAGCACACCCTGCCCGCTCCAGCCCCCCAACTCCCAAAACCAGTGCCAGATCCATGCCCACCAGTAAGGGCATGTCCCAGCCCCACAGAGGTGCTGAGCACGCCAGGGCTCAGCTTCGGCGCTGCCAAGGTTGCCTTCAGCCATGTCTCCCATGCCAGTGCAGGGAGAGCCAGCAGTGCCCAGCAGAGGGGCCTCTGCTCCCCCAGCCTTGCAAACCCCAACCTGGTCCCACTGCGCTGTCCCTGACAGCATCCACATCCCACCCTTCACACCCTGCATCCCCCCAGTGCAGCCCCAGGCTGGAGCAGGGGTGGGTGCCTAAGCCCCATCCCTAGGCCACCACGGTGCTAGGAGCTGTGCTGGCTGTGGGTTGCGCTGCCCCCCATGCCCACCCTGCGGCCCCCACCCCAGCCCCTCACCTTCCCCGCAGAGCTGCCACAGGTGAGCGCACCGAGGTAAAGTGCTGGGTGCCACCACCCAGGGGACCTTTGTCCCCTCCTGTCCCAGCCTATGTTCACCATATAAGGGCAGGAACAGTCTGGAGTCAAGGTTCCCATGGCCCTCCAAGGCTTTGTGGCACCTGAAGAGCCCCGTTACTCATGGTGTGATTGTCCCCCAGGAGCTATTGCAGCACAGGGCACCCCATGGCACCCTGCCTATGGGCGTGCTGTGCCCTTGTCTGCTGCCATTTCCAGGCCTGTGTCCCCCTTGGCACCAAGCCCACAGTGATGGGGTTTTGATGCCTGCCACACAACCAAAAGGTTCCCAAAAGTGATAGCAACAGCATGAACCAGGCCATGAGGGTGCATCAGCCACAAACACAGAGGTGCCCTGATGCCATGGGGATGGGCTCTGTCACTGCCCTCCATTCAACAGTCCCCCAAACCTCCAAACCCTTCCAGCTGTGAAGCACTGAGCCCATGCCTATGAGGGTTTTTTTTGTTCCTGCCCCCCAGAAATACTCCCCAAAGTGACGGCTGATGTCACAGGGCAGGGCTGCACTGCTGCCCTCCACTCCCCACATCCCACAGTGACGGGGTGTTGGTGCTACCAGCTCAGAGGCATCAGCAACGCAGCATCATCTTCCCAGGTCATCCCCTTCCCATCCCACATGCCTTCATGTCCCATCGGGCACATCACTCCCCTGCACACAGGACTGTTCCCAGGATGTGCCACATTGGCAGCTAGAGGCCAGATGTCTGCTCACTACCTGATGGGCTTTGCTCCCTGTGCTGGGGGTCTCTACAGCCTCATCCTTGGGGATGGGAGGGAGGCACAGGGATGTGGTATGGAGCAGGACACAGGGCGGCGGCACAGCTAAGCCCTACTCCCTGTCCCATGCCCCCAAGTCCAGCCCCAGTGGGTGGTGTCTGAGGATGGTCTTGGCGTTGGCAGAGAGAGGACTGGCGCCCTGCCCAGTGGATTTCAGCCCCAAAGGTGGTTTTGGGGGCTGACCAGGGGGTACATAAACCGGGGGGGTGGGGGGGGGGTGGGGGTGGGGGGGGTGAGGGGGGTGGGTGGATTGCAGCAGCAAGCAGGCCCCCAGGCTCATCTTACTCTTATCTCTTCCCCAGCCCTGCAGGATTGCCTTATCTGGGACACCCTGCTGAGCCAGCAGCCCTGGCCATGAGCGCCAGGAGCATCCCACACCCTGTCCATAACCCTGGTGCCAGGCCTGGGTTGTGGTGAGCCTCAAACCCTGCCTGCCTTCCCTCCCGAAGGATCCCTGAAGTGATAGCAATGAGCCAACCCAGGCCATGGAGGCGTCAGCCACAAACAAAGGGCCCTGATGGCAGAGGGATGCGCTCTGCTACTGCTGGACCCCTAAACACCCATAACCACTCCAGCCAGCTCCCACCCTGTGCACCCACACCAGCGCCCCCCATGGGACCTTTACCCAGCTGCAGAGCCTCTGGAGGGGTGCAGGGTGGAGGGTGACACCCTGGCGGCCACGCTCCACTCCGTGTCCCAGGGCGGTATCCCTCCCGACGGTACAGCACGAGGGGGGACCCCAAGCCAGCCCCAGAGCTCTCACCCCCTCCCTGGGCCCCCAGCCGGACACGCTGGGCCACTAATGAACTCAGTAATTAGTGCAGCCATGGGGGAAGATGGAGAACTCTCTAATGAGGGGAGGCACAGGGCCAGCAAGGCTATGGAGGAGGCAGCTAAGACACCCCCCAGCACCCCACTGCCTGTATGCTGGCAGCAGACTGCACAGGGTGGGTTATGAGTCGGCTCCCCCCCAGTGACCTCCAGCTCTGACACCTTATTTAGAGGACAGTGAGGAAGGAAGCACTTGTGAACCCCCACCCCATCACGCCCCAAAGCTGGGAGCAGAGCACACACAGTAAATTCTACCCCCTTCCCCCCGCCCTTTTCAGGGGTGGGAAACCTCCTTCTCCCAGGAGGAGGGGAAGGAGTTAGGACAAGGGTGTCAGGGCAGCAGGGCGGAACATCACTGTGCCCCCTTGGAACAAGAGGTGAGCCCCCACCAACCCTGCAGCCTGAGGGTGCTCGCCCAGCACTGACCTGCAGCATTCCACAGCTTCCCAGGGCAACTTAAGGGAATGGGCTCTCTGCCCTGTCCCCCCTCCCCCATGCACCCCATCAGTGACCCACACGCATGCACACACACTGACACAGGACTCCCCTTTCCAAGATGGTTTGACAGCTTTAATCACGTGAAGGCACTTCGATCTGGTCCCCCAGCCCTCCCCCCCCCCCACCCCCCAAGGCTGCCCAGGGTGGGGCTGCGCCCCCCGGGTGCTGCAGCACCCATGGGTGCTTGCTGGGCAGGGGGGTTCGCTGGTGCCGTTTGACTTGTCTAATATAAAGTGCTGAGTTCAACCCTCCCGGAGGGGAGGAATGAGGCCTGGGGGCGGGTCGCAGGGGTGTGGGCAGGCCTGGGGGGCACCCCTGCCTGCCCCCCAGCACCCAACACTGGGAGAAGGGCAATGCTGGCATGAGCCAGATGGACAGCACCGCAGAGCTAAAACCCCTCACATAACACCCCCCCCAATACTGCCCCCCCTCGCCTGGCACAGCGGTAAAAAGGCACCCATAATTTTTTTTGGGAAACCGTTGGTTTTCCCCCTAAAACGATACTCGCCATTGTCCATATTGCAATGCTAAAAACGGCCTGGCCGGGCTCGGCCCCCCACAAACCCTCCCTGAGAGCCCCTCAAGGTTGGGGGCACCCTGGCACGAGCCTGACCCCACAGGGGTCAGGGTAACCCCCAGCCTGCAGGGAGAGGGGTCCTCAGTGCCTCCCACCCTACCCCAGCTGGGGGTGCTGGGGTAAGGCTGGGGGGGGGGGCACACTAATGCTGGTAGCGGGGTGTTGCACCCCCGGGGGGTTGCAGCTTTTGGTGAAGCTGCAGATGGATGGGGAAGGGAAGTGTGCCCCCTCCCATCGGCGACTGGAGTGGCTCCCATGATAACGTATAACTGAAGGGGAGGGGTAAGGCCACCAGGCCCCCCCCCGCCCCCGGGAAAAAAACGAGGTTGGAAGGGGTGAAATAGGAGGCACAGCCCTTGCAGGGCTGGGAAGGGGGCACAGAGACATGGTGTCCCAAGGCACGTGGTGGGGGGGCATTTATGGCTAAGGGCTCAGCCCTGAGGCTGGGCTACCCCCGAGAACACACCCCCTAGGCAGGGGGCAGCAAAAGGCATGAGGGAGGTGGGGACGTGCCCCCCCAAGGTGATAGGCTGCACCGAAGCAGTCAAGGGTATGGTGGAAACCCTATGCCCCAAGGCCAGTCAGACTCCCCCATTTCTCAGGGTGGTGGCAAGCGATTAACTCATCCCACACCCCCTGAACATAGGGACTGAGGGCCACCAGCCCCTCCTCAGTGGGCAGAGCCCAGATGAGGGAGGCCAGTCCCGCCCAAAGGCAGTGGAAAGCAGCAGTTGCTGACCCCCCCAGCCCCCGATTTGGGGGGACACGGAGGGAAAAGGACCTGAGAACCGTTCTGGGGAGGGGGGACACAGTTGGGGGGGACAGTGGGGGAGGACTGGGACCCTCCCCAGCAGGTCCTCAGCACAGCAAGGCAGCGGGGCACCCACAGCCCTCCTCCTCCATGGGAAGGGGACACCCACCTCCCTGGATGGGGCACCCACGTCTCCCACCACCAGCAGGCAGGGAGGGCATCCAAGGATGATGGTGGGGGCACACGGGGGATACTTTTCCCCCTAACACAAGGCACCCGGCTGCCACGGCGGTGCCCCTGGGCAGCACCTGCAGTGGTGGAGGGCACTAGCTGTTAGTCCGCTGCTTCTTGAGCACTGCGTACACGTCCTCCACCTTGCTGAGCCTCTCGAAGAAGGGTAGGAGGTCCAGCAGCTCCGTGTCTGCCATGTTATCGAACCAGGAGGCCACCGGCACCTGGGGGAGGGAAGTGGCTGAGGGGGGTCTGCCCCCTGTCTCCATTACCCCCCCAGCCTCACCCCAGCAGTACATACGGCGTTATCGGGGTGGAAGATGTAGGATGCAGGCGAGTTGTCCACAATGATGATACGGCGCAGGTCGCGGCCCAGGCGGCTCAGGTCTTTCACGTAGTTGCCCCGATGGAAGACGCAGGATTCCCGGAAAAGCCGTGCCCGGAAAGCCCCCCATTTATCCAGCAGGTCAGCCACGGGGTCCGCATACTGTGGGCGTGGGGCGGGGGTCAGCAGGGCACACCACGCCACCGTGCCCACCCCATGGTGACGACGGCAGCCTGCTCTCCACCGGCGCCAGCTCACCCAGTGCCTCAGTTTCCCTGGACAGCACCGTGGAGGGGCAGGCGGACAGCACTGCCTGATGCTGGCACTGCCTGCAGTAGGCAGGGGACACAGGGGCAGCACTGCCCATGGGTGAGCAGGGAAGGAGAGTTGTGCCACCCAATGTGTAGCTGGGAAGAGGAGGGCACGCACCTTGGCCAGGCTGGCAGTGAAGAGCACGCACTCGAAGAGCTCACCCATGCGCTGCAGGAACTCATCCACGTGTGGCCGCTTGAGCACATACACCTGCGGGCACAGGGCAGAGGGCATGCACCACAGGCACCCATACCCCTACCACCCAGCCTCCTCATGCCCACCCCTGGGGGGCACCTATGTCCCCAAGAGCAGTCAGCGGCTCCCTTCTGGGGAAGGGGGACAGAGGGCTGCCTGCACCCTGTGTACACCCGCATGGGGGCTGCTCCGTGTGGGGTGAGGGATGCCATGGCCCCGCTGGTACATCCAGGTGAAGCATCTGGCCGGCTCCAGAGCCAAA